GGTGCTTTCCCATGTTTCTGATACAAATCGTAATGAAACTTGGGAGTACGACAGTTCTTTGTCCAGTGATTGAACATTCCGCATCTGGTGCAGGCTGATTGGTTGGGTGGGCAGGGCGGTTTGGTTTAGAGATACCACGGCCCTTACCGGAACCATAACCGAGGTTATGTCGGTTGCCACGTCCATTTCCACGTCCATTCCCATGTCCACGGCCACGATCTGAGGATCTGTCTCGCTGGACATTGTAGGATTCTTTGCGGGAATCTGGTACTGGAGCCGATCCCGGGGGCCTCTGGGCACTGTTCCTCATTAACAGGTCATTGTTTTTCTCGGCCAAGAGCAAACAGGATAACAAATCTTCGTACAATGTATGTTTCATTGCACGATATTGTTGCTGAAGCACAATATTTTGGGTATGGAAGGTGGATAATGTTTTCTCGAGGAGATCATTATCAGACACCTCTTCACCACATAGTTTCATGATTGAAACTATCCGAAAGAGTTCGGAGTTGTAGTCATCCACAAATTTGTAATCTTGGAACCGGAGTTCCTTCCAGTCAAACTTGGCTTGTGGCAAGAGCACCGTTTTCTGGTGATCATACCGTTTTTTTCAGGGCCACCCAAAGTTCGAGTGGGTTCTCAAGAGTGAGATATTGCTGTTTGAGGCTTGCGGCCAAATGATGGCGGATATGAAATATCGCCTGGGACCGGTCTTTATCAGATGCGGTGTTATCCGCTTTGATACACTCACCCAGTCCCTTTGAGTTGAGGAAAATCCTGGTGTCCATGGCCCATTCGAGATAGTTTTCACCGGAGACCTTGAGGGCCTCGAACTCGACTTTTTGAATGTTTGACATCTGAAAACATGAAATTGATTTCATTAGGGGTTTGTTATTTGAGAAAAGTTTCTAATTTGGGAAACTTTCTAAATGAGGAAAGTTTCTATTTTAGGAAACCTCCTAAATGAGGAAAGTTTCTATTTGAGGGAAACCTTCTAAATGAGGAAAGTTTCTATTTGAGGAAACCTTCTAAATGAGGAAAGTTTCTATTTGAGGAAACCTTCTAAATGAGGAAAGTTTCTATTTGAGGAAACCTTCTAAATGAGGAAAGTTTCTATTTGAGGAACCCTTCTAAATGAGGAAAGTTTCTATTTGGGGAAACCTTCTAAATGAGGAAAGTTTCTATTTGAGGAAACCTTCTAAATGAGAAAAGTTTCTATTTGAGGAAACCTTCTAAATGGGGAAAGTTTCTATTTGAGGAAACCTTCTAAATGAGGAAAGTTTCTATTTGAGGAAACCTTCTAAATGGGGAAAGTTTCTATTTGAGGAAACCTTCTAAATGAGGAAAGTTTCTATTTGAGGAAAGTTTCTATTTCGGGAAACCTTCTAATTTAGGAAACTTTCTCGGAAATCGTAAATTTTAAGGATACGGTTTGGTTTTACAGAACATAAGTTCGGTTTAGTGGTTTAAAGTTGAACCGGAATATTAGATTCTGGTTTAAAGTTGGGCCGAATTGATTTCCGGTTTAGAATAACCAGTTTGAACCGGTTTACCCAGATTGAGATCCGGTTATTATTTTCGGAACCGGTTTGATAATCGGTTTAACCGATGAACCGAATTGATATTCGGGTTTAGGGGTTAACCAAGAATGATTTCCGGTTTAGGGGATACACGAATTAGGGTTTTCGTTTCTCTTTGAGGAAAACGATTTGAATTTTGCGGTTTTCAAACGCAAAACGTTTTTAGGGTTCATGCGATTTTAGGTTTTGATTTCTATCAATTTATGCATGCAATCAATCATAGAAATAATCAATCTAAACAACCTAAACAACCTCAATCAATCGATTTATATTTTAGGGATTTCGGATTTGATTTGATTTAGGTTTTAAGGTTTCAGCCATGGCTAAGTGTTTTCGATTTTGAGAGTTAGGTTTAAGCAATAACTTTTCTAACAACTTAAACGAGTCAAGCAATCGAATCATACAAGCAAAAGCAATCACTTAATCAATCATTATCCGTTTTTAAGATTTCGCTTTGCATTAGGTTCAAGTTCGATTTTTGATCTTTAAGCTTTTAAGGTTTTGTTTTTACCTTTCACCAATTGGGGTTGAACGGATTGAACCGGGAGCTTAAGACCTCGGTAACTCACGCTGTCGATGAACAGTACCGATGAACAGTGTCGATGAACAGTACTGATGAACAGTGTCGGCGTGAACAGTGTTTTGCGATTTTTAGGGTTAGGGTTGTTAAGAGCAAACTCGTGCTGATAACGTGTTGTGAAACTTATTGTTGTCTCTTCTCATTCCATGAATAATGATACATATATATAGGCATATAAACCTAGGGTTTTAGAGTACATAATGAATAACCCTGATGGGCTTATTGGGCCCGGTTATAAGTCCAATATGATGTATTATAACAGACTAAACTTTATGAAACATTGATGCAACAATAGGATTTAAAAACAAATAGTGGATAAAATTGGAAAGTTAAAACAGGTTCGTGAAAGGTATTTATGATCTCTTTGTTAATTTTAGAAACCACTCGCATTGTACTGTTATGATACAATTAAGAATCTCAAGATACAACCAAATTAACTTTGATTCGCTAATTCTGGTTTGATTTTGCGAATACTCTCAAAATTTACTTTAGAAAAGAGAACAGATGAATGGGATTGGTTCGCTCTCAAACTTTTCGAATGATATGTTAGAATGAGACAATGAGAAGTCTTTCTATTTTCTTGGCTAAAACATAAAGCTATTGAACAGTATTGTGAGAAAATTTTGTATCCGCTCATCAGATTGTAGAACAATGGCGGAAATAATTTTATAGATGGTATATATGTTCTTGTTTGACTCGAGGCTGTTTTACCTAAAAAATTATATAAACGAGTTTCACGGTTTTAGCGAAAAAATCAAAATGTATAGTTTTGGTGAGAAAATGATATTCATAATTTTGGTGCTAAACATAATTAACTAAATTTGATTTAAATACAGAAATTCGTCATTGTTTCGCCAAAAATGCAATTCCATAATTCAAGCCCAAATTCATAAATTTCTATTTTAACGTAAAATATAAAATCATGACATCATTTTGCTGGTAATTTGTAACTAATACTTAATAAAAATAATTTAGATTTTTGGTATGTAATTGGTATATATAAACTTTATTTTCAATTATATTTAAACTATCCAATTTTCTTGGATGCTTTTCATTTTGCATCTAATTTCTATATCCTAACTCACATTTTTAAATTAGACAAAACAACAAGTAGATGTCACATTTGAATGAAAAGAAAAATGAACAACCCCAAAGTGTCACTATCACTGGATTCACTGCCAACACACAACGTGTATACACTTTTTCTCTTTTATTGAACACTATAACGACCTAAATCATCCTAAACATTATTCAAATATTACATTTACATTATAACGATCTTTTTTAGCTGAAAATTTTAAAAATAAACATCTTAATAAATTTTAGTTTATTTAAAGTTCGGTTTGATAAATAATGATACCGTTTGGCCTTTAAATTTAATTTTTATTCAATTTGATTTTAAATTAATATTTCATTTCAAGTTACATGCACATCTCTAGTATATATCATTTTAAACATAGTACATCATCACGTCACTAATAGTTTTACTCCAGATATTTTCATCTGCACCAAGATATAATTTATCTTCGATCTTGATGTTACGACATATTGCCATGGCTGGCCGAGGACACTTTCCATGGCTTGTGTCAACATCGATATAATATCTACTCTATTATTATTCCACCGGCCTCAAGCAATTGCAACTCTCAATTCCCCATACCCTAGGAGTTCGGATCAACTTCCTTAATCTAGACTATGTCCAATTTCAATTAGATCCTGAACCAAGTCTCGTTGATAAAATTCCACTCTTATTTGACCGTGAAGGTCTTCGGCATTCAAGCTTCTCCATCATGGAGATAACCTCGGATCCGTCCTCCTCCCTTGTGGAGAGAACCTGTCCACTTCTCTTAGCTATCTCAAAGTAGTTTGCACCGACAACCAATGAAACTAAAGAACCTTTTTCAACGTCACGAAATCTGTTGATAGTGGCTAATGTTAAATTCTCCGAAGTGTTCGCAGAAGACACACCATGATCTCGTTTGTGGCATGTTGCGCTATAGCCTCTGTCTCCGAACTTCTATGGATATATCAAGGAAGCTTAATACTTTTCCATTCTATCTATTTACTTTTGTTGTAAGTTTGTGTTTGATTAGCATTTTGTAACTTAACGGTAAATTTGTACTCTTTATCTTCCATTGGAATTGAACGAATGGATAACAAAAATGTTTGCGCGAAAAAAAGATATTACCTATTGGTCCAATAATTTTCCCAAAATACAATTTTTTTTCTATACAAAAAAATTTGTTGCAATGAAACGGCTCATAAGCTAACATCTATTACAAAAGTCATAAAAACAAACGTCAACAATATCAAGCGTCAACAATAAAAACTTACACGTGAAAAATATTACGAGTAAAATATAATTTGTGTTGAACCCACTGTCACTATGCACGCATAGTAATTTATTTTTTTACGCCTATATAAACGATCGAATTCTATCGTCGTAAAACACAATTCATTACTTCAATTACAAGAGAAGTAATAAACACATCTCTCTCGTCTTTTTATTATCTAGTATCCCGACTTTTCTGCGGATATAAAATATTTCTCCATTATTTATATTTTTATACACCATAAAATAAAGTAATTATTTATAACAATATCCAAAAAAAATTTATAGATATACTCAATTTTATCAAACAATTTTTTTCTCAACAAAATATAAAGTCTTGACTTTTCTGAATTTTTAAAAAATTTGTCGGTATATTGTTTATTGTTATACACACTTCTTTCTTCCTTCTAATTTTATTCGTGGATTAGAGATCACTCCATCCAAAAAAAAACACATTCCTCTCTCTCTCTCTCTCTCTCTCTCCGATCAAAAATTGTTAACATTTCTAAGAAATTCAAATTCTCTGTTTCAATCGCAATTCAAATTTCAAATGGGGAAACCAACGGGGAAGAAGAAGAATAACTCCGAGATCCCACCGACGGATTCTTCCTCCAGCGGCGGAGGTAAGACCGGAAAAAGCTTCGATCGATCAACAACCAAATCATTCGACAACGATATGACAATCTTCATAGACCGAGCATTGGAGCTTAAAGAAGAAGGCAACAAATTATTCCAGAAACGTGATAACGAAGGAGCAATGTTTAGGTATGATAAAGCCGTTAAGCTATTACCTAGAGATCATGGAGATGTAGCTTATTTAAGAACAAGTATGGCTTCTTGTTATATGCAAATGGGATTAGGAGAGTATCCTAATGCGATTAACGAATGTAATTTGGCTTTAGAAGCTTCTCCTAGGTTTAGTAAAGCTTTGTTGAAACGAGCTCGTTGTTATGAGGCTTTGAATAAATTGGATTTCGCGTTTCGGGATTCGCGCGTTGTTTTGAATATGGAGCCTGAGAATGTTTCTGCTAATGAGATTTTTGAGAGGGTGAAGAAGGTTTTGGTTGGTAAAGGGATTGATGTTGAGGAGATGGAGAGGAATTTGGTTAATGTTCAGCCTGTTGGTGCCGCGAGGTTGAGGAAGATTGTTAAGGAGAGGTTGAGGAAGAAGAAGAAGAAGACGATGACGACGACGAATGGTGGAAATGATGGTGAAAGGAATAGTGTTGAAGCTGTTGTTGAGGATGCGAAAGTTGAGAATGGAGAGGAAGCTGATAGCGGGAAGAAAGGTGTTGATTCGAAAGAGAAAAGGAAGGTAGAGGATAAGGTTGTGGTTGAGGAAAAGAAAGTGAGTCCTGTCATGGATAAAGAGGTTATTGCTTCAGAGATTGTCGAAAGCGTTAAGGAAGACGCAACAGTGACTAGGACAGTGAAGTTGGTTCATGGGGATGATATACGGTGGGCACAATTGCCGTTGGATTCTAGTGTTAGACTTGTAAGAGACGTGATCAGGGATCGGTTTCCTGCTCTGAAGGGTTTCCTGATCAAATATAGGGACTCAGAGGGTGATTTGGTTACCATTACTACGACAGATGAGTTGAGGCTGGCTGCATCTACTAGGGAGAAACTGGGCTCCTTTAGATTGTATATTGCTGAAGTTAGCCCCAATCAAGAACCAACTTATGATGTCATCGAAAATGATGAATCAACTGATAAGTTTGCCAAGGGATCGAGTAGTGTTGCTGATAATGGAAGCGTCGGAGACTATGTGGAATCTGAGAAAGCATCTACCACCCTTGAGCACTGGATTTTCCAGTTCGCGCAACTGTTTAAGAACCATGTCGGGTTTGATTCTGATTCTTACTTGGAACTTCATAACCTTGGGATGAAACTGTATACAGAAGCAATGGAAGATATTGTCACTGGCGAAGATGCGCAACAACTCTTTGATATTGCTGCTGATAAGTTTCAAGAAATGGCTGCGCTTGCAATGTTTAACTGGGGGAATGTTCATATGTCCAAGGCAAGAAGGCAGATATATTTTCCCGAGGATGGTTCAAGAGAAACTATACTAGAGAAAGTTGAGGCCGGATTTGAGTGGGCAAAGAACGAGTACAACAAAGCTGCAGAAAAATACGAAGGCGCGATTAAAATTAAATCTGATTTCTATGAAGCTCTTCTAGCACTCGGGCAACAACAATTTGAACAGGCTAAGCTTTGCTGGTATCATGCATTGAGTGGCGAGATAGATATAGAAAGCGATGTTTCCCAGGATGTACTAAAGCTCTATAACAAAGCTGAGGAGAGCATGGAAAAGGGTATGCAAATATGGGAAGAGATGGAAGAACGCCGTCTAAATGGAATCTCCAATTTCGATAAACATAAAGAACTGCTACAGAAGTTAGGCTTGGATGGAATCTTTAGTGAAGCCTCTGATGAAGAAAGCGCAGAACGAACAGCTAATATGAGTTCCCAGATCAATCTTTTGTGGGGTTCCTTACTGTATGAACGCTCCATCGTGGAGTATAAGCTTGGCCTACCGACCTGGGATGAATGTTTGGAGGTTGCAGTGGAGAAATTTGAACTAGCTGGAGCTTCTGCAACCGATATAGCTGTCATGGTAAAGAACCATTGCTCAAGTGACAATGCACTTGAAGGTAATTAATTACGTTATTTAATATATGAATACTTACTTTCCGAGTATGGACAATACGTAATAATCAAAACATCAACTACAGGTATGGGATTCAAGATCGATGAGATAGTACAGGCATGGAATGAAATGTATGATGCCAAAAGATGGCAGATCGGTGTTCCATCGTTCCGGCTAGAACCTTTGTTCCGGAGACGGTCACCAAAACTGCATGATATTTTAGAAAATGTGTTTTCAGGGCCTCAGTGACGAAACAGTCTTCATATCAGCTGGCATCAGTTTTCAGTTTTGATAAGGTTTGTCCGAAAATTCGGAGTTTTTTTTGAGGTTGGTGTTTGATGAAAAACTAATCTATTGAACTGGTCCAACAATTACTATTGCAGGTATTGTATTCACTGGGAGTTATATACGCAAATTTTTCTTCGAATTTTGGTTTTGTTTCTCAGCTTATGGAAGCATTGAAGCATTATTTTTTTATATCTCTTGGCGGGTATGGCCGTGAAGAAGATGGGAGTGATGATTTTTTCGAGTTAAAAAATTTGTTAATTCATTATTTCAATTCTTTGGGTTTGTAATTATATCATAGTTTTGTAATTTTTTTTATTTATTGATTGTTTGGATTAGTTGTGTATCTATGAATTGGTTATTAATAAGATGGTGAATGGTTTTGGTTTGTGGTACTAAAAAACTGATCTTACAATTAGAAACGACACGCTGTTTCTATTCTTGAAGTAGAATAGCAAGTTGTTGACTTAGGCTTGGGTATATTAACCAGAACTAAACCGAAATTTGGTAAAACCTGAGAACTGAATGTTACCCATAAAAACCCGAAAACATTACCCACGGTTCTCGGTTCGGTTCAGATTGAGGTGGTTTTGACCATATGTTTATGGTTTTGTATGGGTATTTTTGGTTATATCGAGTACCGAAAATTGGTAAAACCCGAGAACTGTATAGTACCCATAAAAACCCCAAACTTATACAAAACATTACCCACGGTTCTCGGTTCATTTCAGATTGAGGTGGTTTTGACCATATGTTTATGGTTTTGTATGGATATTTTTGGTTATATCGAGTAGTTTGGTTACTTTGACTCTTTGAGTTACAAAGTAACCATTAGGAACCGAATCATATCGAACCGATTATTAGTCCATTCCTATACTGTTACCAAATTTGCATACCCAAATTACCCGAAAATCTCGAAAGAACCGACTCAAAGAACCGAACTCCCAGGGGTAGTTGTTGTCATTCGTAACGGTAAAGAATATTATGTCGTACTGAAAACAGCACGAATGTTTATAGGAAAAAATAAAAACAGCACACAGTTTTTCACTGAGTTTCTTCCCCGAGTTGGCGAAGAAAACCATAGAAGTAACAACACAGAAGTAGAATCTTCTTTAGTCATCTCCCGCAAGTTAAGGAAGCTCTGAAATTAGGGGTTTTAGTCTGCGATCACGATCCTTCAATTACTTTGACGATAATGGAGAAAGTAAGACAACCAACCCATGCAGGCTCTTGGTATACCGATAATCGTGAGTTCTGAATTTTTTTTCTCGATTGCTACAATTTCTTTAGTTGCATGATCAATCATTCTATATTGGGCTTACAAATTAGGGTTTTAGATTTCATAATTCTGGGTTCATATTCTTATTCTTAGTGTTCTCTATCTGTTGATCAAAGTTTTGATTTTGTGATTACTGAAATTCGTTTTGCTAAATGTGTTTAATTTGATTTAATGTTTAGTTTCTGGGTTTAGGATTTGATTACTATAGAAAATCAGTGACTTTGTTTTTAGAAACAAATGCATTTAGCAGTGAGCTTTGACTTTTCTTAATCTTTCTGGATTTGTCCGCTATCTACTTGAAGGATTCGTTTTATGTTTCTTTATCAGCTACAAAGTTGTCATCTGATCTTGAAGAATGGCTTAGTGCTACTGGTTTAACCAAATCTCCTGATGTACGAGGCGTCATTGCACCGTAAGCTGTTCTTGCTTATCTCATTTCCTCCGAAAAGTGATTACACTTGCACTAACCTTTTGAAGGAATCCAGACACGCAGGTTATTCGTATTCCGGTCGTGCAGCTGCCTATGCTTTTGCAAACATTGATCCTACTAACATGTAAGTAAGCTCGACTATATTTTTACTCATTCCTCTTGAATTTGGAAGAGTGCCATGAGTTAGAATTGTCCACCATTATTATTTATGACTAGTGCTGTGTTTTTTGGAGTCTAATTTCAGTTCTCGGATATTTCTGCTTGGTCCATCTCACCATTTTTATACTCCAAAATGTGCCCTTTCGACTGCAACAGTTTACAAAACTCCCATAGGAAATCTACCCGTTGATGTGGAGAGTAAGTTTGGCTAGCTTAGCTTATCTTACGAAAGAAAGATTTTTTCACTTGATGAGGAAAGATGTTCTCTTTTGGTTTTCATATGAATTCACCAGTGATTAAGGAGATACGAGCTATGGGAAAATTTGGAATGATGGATCTACGGGTCGATGAGGCTGAGCACAGCATGGAAATGCACTTGCCGTATTTGGCCAAAGTATTTGAAGGGTAAGCAAGTTGGCAGTATTGTTAAGTTTCTGAATTACTTTCAATAACGTGGCAGAATTTTCTGAGACTGGCCCATTTTAATATTTGATCAGGCACAATGTGAAAGTTGTACCCATCTTGGTTGGAGCAGTAAGTGCAGAAAATGAAGCCATGTACGGTGAATTGCTTGCCAAATATGTGGATGATCCCAAGAATTTTTTCTCGGTGTCTTCTGACTTTTGCCACTGGGGCTCAAGGTTTGTCTTAGCTCTTCATCTCCTTTCCCTCATTGAAATACCACATTCTGATGAAACTTTAGGTATGATACCACATTCCCTCATTGAAATACCATATGTTTTTACTTTTAGGTTCAATTACATGCATTATGACAACACTCATGGTGCTATACACAAATCGATTGAGGCTCTAGACAAGAAGGGAATGGATATAATAGAGACAGGAGATCCAGATGCCTTTAAGAAGTATCTTCTGGAATTTGAGAACACGATTTGTGGGCGCCACCCGATCAGTATTTTTCTCCATGTAAGCGGTTGTCAATAACTTCATGAAAAATAGCCTTAAGCTTCTAAATCTAGTTTTTGCCTTCCTATTTATCTAGAAGTTTTTCTTTTAGATGCAATCAATATGATGGATGAATATAAAGGTGAATCTGGTACTCGATTAGGTTACTTTAGCCCATATCGAGTGTGTAGATATTCCTGAAAACTTACTGCTTCTGTTTTATGTTTGTGATTGCTTTCAGATGCTAAAACATTCATCAAGCAAGATTAAGATCAATTTCCTGCGGTACGAGCAGTCAAGCCAATGCCAGACAATGCGAGACAGCAGTGTCAGCTATGCATCTGCTGCAGCCAAGTTGGAAACTTGAGTTAAAGAAAGTCGAAAACTTGGTGTGCAAAATTTCCCATTCGCTTTTTACATTTCGGTTTCAAGGTCTTTCATGGTCAAAAAGTATCATCTCAATGCATGTGACAATGTAAAGAACCTTAGAAAACCAAAGGTTTCGTGTTTACAATCTTCTGTAATAACAACAACAAAAGCACAAGACCTTCTTCCATTGACTGATATCTGATTTTTCATTTGTTCAGACAAGAAAGCACAAATCAAGTGTGTTGAGACTTAAAACACTTTGCTTAAGATCTACAGAGACATACATCAAAAGTTAACTCTTACAATCTCCTTACTGTCTGAAAATTCAGGTAGAGCTTCCTTCCGATGCCTTCTCTCTCTACTGTAAATGATCCAGAACATAAGTGAGAGCATCACAGCCGTCGCTAAAATGGCCAGACCCACATAGACCCAATAGCCATAACGCTGGAGTCCAGGACAATGGTCATTGGTTATGTCTCTAAAGGTCTGCTTTGCATATGAACAGTCCTGAAGCTGGACCAGGAACGGTGCATCCCTGATCAACCCCGTGCTGATGTTCACTCCTGATGCCATCTGACTGTACAGCGCCGGTGTGAGCCTCCCTGTTGTGGCGCAAGTCCCGTTCTGGCTCACTTGGCAAACGAAACTGGTCCATGCCTGCGAGTGTTGTGACATCACTAAGATTTCTTTGTACAAGTGCAATTTTTATTCCTGCCCCTTGACTAGTGACGGTTTCAAACAATAAAAAAATTGGACAGAGGGACTTACTTGAGTAGCATTGTTCAAATCGAGCTCACCAGGCGAACAAGAACGATCCGTAAGGTCATGGTTAAAAGGATTGCAGAGCAATGGAAGCAACGGTCCAGATTGGTTATAATACATTGGGACAAAGACTGGAGAGAAGTTGATGTTTGAGACATTAGTGATGACTGTATTGATTAGATCCACGAGCTGACCGGTCACCTCTCTGCTACGCATCAAAGTTTCCTGAGCTGTGGCATTGTCTGTACAAGGCAAGATCTCGTCCAAAGCCGTGTTGCTTGATGGTCTCTCAACCCATTCGCTCATTGCCACACATGTGTCTGCAGTTGCACTGATTGTGAAAGGAACACATTCAAGGTTTTTTGAGTTTATGTTTTAACAGAGAACAAGTTGATGAAGAGTCATGAGACATACTTGTGTAGCACAAGGAATGTTCCACTCAAAATGAATGTACCGGTCACCAGAATCCATCCCAAAATCACAAGGCTGCACAAGAGGAAAAAGATTCAGATAGTTTTTACGAATGACAGTTGCACGGAGAACATTTCAAAGTTTTACTCACGTGTAAACGATGACCTGCATCCCGAAAATTGAAGAAACTGCAAGAGAATATGATAACAAGATCATTAGAGTCAATACGTTAGTTGACAGTTGAGAAACATGTAGTCAAAGATGAAAACATTACAAAAGATCCGGTCTTATGACTTACCGAGACCAAGAAATGTCACAACAAGCATGACGATTGAAACTACGATAAGTGCCACCTTCCTAGAAGAACAGAAAATCACCGTTATACATTGTTTTTCAAGATCCAAAAATTGGGTTCCTGTAACAGATAGCATGTTAGGAGGCGTTTGTTTACACGGAATCAAGGAAATGTCTTATGTTATTGGAGCTATTAGTCGATTTCTCAGTGATGGTTGCTACAGAAGAATCCAGTTTCGCTCCGATCTGATCGATTTCAGTTTGGACATTTGCAGGTAAAAGAACCTGAAGAACTGCAGCCTGCTTAGCTGAAGCAAGATAATCAGAGATAGCTCTAAGCTGTGAAATCGTGCTATCCGCTTGACTCATGACATACTCTAATGTCTCTGTCGTGCTTTTATTGTACCTGATCTGACCCGAATATAGAAGAACACATCCGATTCTGCGATAAGATGAACTCAAAAGATAAGTATTTAATACAACATAAGCAACTTTTGAGTATGTAATAAGTTTTGTTCACCTCTTACTCACATTGCAATAACAGTGAAGATGAGGAGGAAGATGAGGGAGACAACATAAGCAACTTTCGAGTATCCAACAGAGTTGGTTCTATGGCAAATGTGACACATACAGATGACTAATAAACAGATGCCAAACCCAAGAAACCAAACAGCAGCAAGAACAAAGAGAGGAACAGCTGTATAGCTCACTGACTGCAATATCAAAAACACAAACACATAATCTAAATCACAGCGACACACAAAAACAAAAACAACATCTAATTGAAGTAGAAAGATCTTACAGCCCAGTAATGTTGGTTGCTGATATTCCATCCTCCAGTGTATTTCTCAAAACCATTAAGAGGATCTTTTCTATATGTTCTTTGAGCAGCTAATGCCACTGAAGCAACTTCATTTACTTGAGGGTTGTTGAAACCAGGTCCTAATAATGGCGCCTCTGCTACTATAAATTTCATTACAGAACCAGTTTTCTCTGAAGCTGAAAAGAGACAAATCAGATTGAAATTCAAGAAACAAAAAAAATTGTAGTAAAGACTGAAACTTTTTGTTTGTTTTGTCAACCCTAGAAATTGCATAGACAATGTTCCAGAGTCATAGGGTTTTAGAAGCTAAAGAGAAAATTCAGATTATAGACAAAACCCATTGTGAAATCAGTCGAAAATCTGTAAAGGATTAAGCAAAGTTTTGAACTTTTGAGCATTTTCATGGAATCAAGAAACAGAGAATGTAGAAGAAGAGAGAAAGCTTTCTCAAGAAAGAACCTAAGAGAGGAAACACAAACCTGTGGGAGGCTGAGTAGGAGAAATGTGAATAGTGGAAGCTCCATGAGAAAGAGAAAGAGAGGTAAAGAAGCAAGAGAAGAAGAAGAGAAGAAGAGACATTAGTACTACTACAGTGACGCAATCTTTGAGTGAAGAGAGAAAGAGTTGCAGAGGAGAGAGACAGAGTGAGAAGAAAGACAATGAACTTAAATGTGCTTTTTTAGAAAATCTATGACCCACAAAAGACTTTTTGCAGTTTTTCTGTAATGAGTTTAGACTTTAGACTTTGGTGATACACACAAAACCAGGTTTTTTTAGAATTTACGAAATGAATCATTGGACAATGGAATCTTTGTAGATTGTTTGTCTAAACTTTTAATTATTAGTAAAGTTATGATTTAGGAAATTTAAATGTTTGTTTTAGTCATACAAAAAAAATTGAACTTCTAATGTTCTATGGTATTAGTATTTGTATATTTTAACATCTGTTATTATTAGGTACTTATAGTTTATGCAATGGAACAGATAAAAGAAAGAAGACAATCGAAAGGAGAAAATAAAAATATAAATGTACAACAGATTCCAATATAGACATTTATGTTTTTCTTTTCAGGTTTATGACACATAATCCTTTGATGTGTGATATTATAATAGGTGCATTTTATAACATGTGATATTTTTAGATGTATCTTATAATTAACATACATATATAAAAAAATTATTAGATTGTGTGTATTAGAAATTTAATTAGATTTGTTGCTTTAAATGTGTACATATTATCCAACTATATAAAAGTAGATGTGTTGTTAAGAAAAAAAAAAAGATTAAAGTAGATGAGGGTAATTTTTTCTAACCAATAATGTGGATATGCCACATTGGATACGCTTCTAAGAGCATGGGCAGTGGGGCAAGCAGGTGGGTGTGAGTCTTGGGGTGTAGGTATTAAAAAAACGAAAAAATTGTCTCTCTCTTCACACCCGGGTGTAAGTTTACACTCGGGTGTAACACTTTTTCTCTCTATCTCTCTCTTTCTTTCTCTTTCTCTTTTCTCTTTTGCTTTAAATTATAATACTAAAAAAATACTTACACCCACACAAACACATTTGCCACTGCTGATGGTCTAAGGATAGGCGACGTCGAGATTATCGTTTCCTTGAAAGAGGCAGTATATAACAGGCTCAAACGATCGATCACATAGAATATAATTTCTGGGAGACGAGACTTCAAACTCATGTCTCAGGCGTTTCCAACAGATGGATGCACCATTTTCACAAAATTCTTAAAGCTAATCACGCATTTTGATGCAAGATTGGAATCACTCCAACTTTAGATCACTTGATGATCAAGAGATTCCAAGCTTTCCACGCGGAAGGTGGGATGATGAAGGTGGTGATCTGACACGATGGCGGTCGCTTCTCTCGTGTGGGATCGATTCAAGGGGAATTGATGGATAGAAGGGTGATTGACTCGCTCAATCAGTGGGGTAATCGACTCACTCGATCAATGAACGAATGAAGGATGTTGAATCACTCAACAAACTTAATCCGCAGAATCCTGAAGTACTTAGTGACTCACTCACAAAGAACTACAGAACAATGACAAAGACTCAAACTTTGACAAGTAGAAAACGTTTTCTATTACTTTTAAAAATGATCAAGGGTCCTTTACAATGAGACTAATGATCAGCTTATATAGGCTGAGTACAAACGTTCTAAAAGCTAAACAAAGAAACAAATCGCAACATTAAAAGAAAATATGGTCGTTGGTCCAAATAAGGCAAGTGAGGTGTGCCTTATATCTTGTCAACTTGGGGAGGAAGTTGTGACGTCTTGGAAGCTTCTGGAGGGTCTCAAGATTCTCACACAAGCGCACAAACAAAGAAGGAAAGAGTTGTTGCAAGTTGATCTCCTTCGGCTCCATATATGGCAAGTAATAACTCCGCGGGTTCTTGTGTGGTAAGGTGTACCAAAGTTTGTGTGGTACATGTCTTGTGTAGCCTAGATGTTCTCCTGGTTTCCATATGTAGCTTTGAGGTGCGTCCAAGTGTAGAATAAGGAAGATTTCCTTGTTTGGCTTCATTTGACGCAGTACTTCAGAAAGTAGTTCAGCGAGTAGTTCAGCAAGTAGTGCAGCCGGTCTGTCAGCAAGTACATCAGCTATATGTACTTGTAACATCTTCGAATCAATTGCTTGGTAAATGATTCCTTGATGACTTGATGTTGCCTCGTTAAAAACCTTTCTAGGTAAACCCATTGGGACAAACCCTAGATAAGGGAAAAAGAGTGCAACGGTCAAATTTCCCCAACATGGTGATTCGGCTCGCTGGTCTTTGATTCCTCCTGAACTATCATTAGTCTTCTTAGAGTTAATTTGCTGGTGAATAATTAACCCTAGGCCTTGTGCTTGATTATGACTCCATTTGGGCAAGAATCCTCCAAAATGCTCCATATCAACCGGTTTGATACATGTACCGGTTGGTTTGGTATACTCCCGGTTTGGTTTGATTTGGATGTCCGCATCATACCCTCTCCCTTGAAAAAGTTTCGACCTCGAAACTATACAATCTTGGTAGGGTGGCGGTTTGATGGTGCATGGTGCATCAGGTGGCTCTCCTTTGAGCAAGAAAGATAGGATCACTCCGCTGTTTTGATCCGGTGCTTTGAGTTGTCGTGTTGCTTGCTTAAATCCTTCTCGGGTTTGGGCTTGAGCTTTAAAATCCGGCGGTTCCTCTTTGATTAAGCAAGAGTTTGAAACTCTTCTAGTCTCCATGATAGAGGGTGTTAGCATCAATGGTGCTGGTTCACTTTGGTTTTGAATTTGGTCGTTGACTTTCCTCACTTCCGGTGAATCACCTTTATGTTCCATGTGTTCTTTGTTGGTACCTGCAAGTTCATCAACACTTTGGGCAAGAAACAAGTGCATTAAAACAGTCATGGGATCAATATAAACAAGTAAACCAATTTTGGATTGAACCATTTCTTTTCCACAAAGTGATTCAGAAAGTATGTCACAAAGTAGATCACCTACTTGATATGTCCTAAGACAAGAAATTAGTTCCATAGATTTATTTAAAAGATCTACTATTTTCTCACACTCTTTAAGGATTAACAAGTTTATTATCATATCATTCGAATCGCTAGAAACAATTAGAAGTAATAGTTTACTTACCTGACTTAGATCCTCGGTGAGTGTATCTTTCGAAATCAACTTGGTTTGTTGATTTGATGGCTGGTCCGGTGGTTCTTCTTGCAGCAGGATGTTGTTGGTAACAATTTCATTCTCTTTAGTGACAGATTCGCATATCAAAAGCTCTTGATATTGCCGCACAACATCATTCGTTGTTGATCCCTCTTTTGGATCCACATGTGTCTCCTTATTACCTACATGTGTCTCAACACTTTTGGCACAAGACAAGTGTATTAAGGCAGTCAAGGGACGTTCATGAACATAATGAAATAAGTTACTTTGAACCTTTTCATGTGTTAGACCAGAATCAACTTCTTGTTTGCTTTGATCCGAGAGTAACCGTAACATTGTTGTGGCTTCTCTTTGATCTTCGCAAATCTTCATGGTACCTGTACTTTCACTGGCACTCAAAGACAAGATCAAGTGCATTATACTTGAAATTGAAATGATATGGATAGGGTTCTTGAAAGTCCTTTCGAATATAAGATAATGCCAATATCGAACAAGATAATAAGTTTCGCTTACTTGTGTACCATGTAAGGTGTTCGGTATCAATGCAACCTTGATGTGGATGATCTTAGAAGCAAGATCAGCTGGTGTTGAACAGGGCTGTATTATCACACGTCCTTTGAGGGCTGCTTGATCATACGTCTTATTTTGGCAAACTTGTGTTGATGTTGTTGTTTCCGAAAGTTGTTCCTCAAAACTTATGATATTCTCAACTTGCTTTAGAGTTGCTACGTTGTGGTCTACTTCTTTAGATGTGTCATCCATGCTATGACATATACCTGCATCAATAACCTTTGGCAAAGACAAGCGCATTAATCTAGAATTGGGAATTTCTAAACTTGAATTCACTAGACAATCATTGAAGTTAGATGCATCCACTTTCAGCTCTAGTGATAGGACATCCTCTACTTGTCTTTTATAGCAAGTTGCAGCAAAATGTCCCTTCTTATGACATCTATAACATGTTGGTTCATTTGATTTTAATGAATCATAGGACATACCTTGCTTTAGTTCAGCATGTGGTTCAACATGTGGTTCAGCATGTGTTTCAACATGTGGTTCAGCATGTGGTTCAAGTACCGGTATGGAGCTCGGTTCTCCTTTTGCACATGTACCTTTCTCATTCTTCTTAGCGGGATCTTGATCCGCAATTTGATTGGAACTAACACGTTGATGTGTAGTGTTCTCTCGGCTTGGTTCCTTTGGATGGTAAGTGTGTTGACCAGGTTGGGGGAGACTGTGAGGTGCATATCTCTCCCTCATAAGTATCTTTAGTTGTCCCCACGTTTTGAGTGCTGGCTCCTTGAACCATCGTCTATCTTTTTCTTCTCGGTCCCACCAACGTTTCGCGCTTCCCATGAGTTGTTCAAGACAATAGTTGAGCCTCTCTTCTTTGGGAATGGAATAGTATCTAAAGTACTTATCCATGTTGAGTTCCCATTGCAGATAATCTCTCTCACGTCCTGCAAACTCAAAAGATTCAGGTCCAAAATACTCATAACCATTGTCTAGAGATAACCTGAGTTTTGTTTGGTAGGTTCGGGTGGGATTGGATAGTAGTGGGTCTCGACGAGTGCCACGTTTCAGCTCGCCTCCTCTTAGATTAGTGATCCCTGAGT